TGAGGGACACCATTAAAAATTTGAAGGGAATCGGAGCGAGAGTGGTTTATTACAACATATTGTAATCGTGAGCTTAAATATGATTTTATAAGGTTGAGGGCGTGTCCTCGTACGCCGTAATGCTCGAGCTTAGCGATAAGTATTTTATGATTTACAGTATCGAATGCCTTACTAAAGTCAATAAAAATGCCAAGAGTAAGACGTTGTGATTCAAAATTGTTCAAAATATATTCTTTTTGGGCAAGCAAGGCGTGTTCCGTTGATCTATTTTTAGTAAACCCATATTGGCAATCGGATATTACAGAATGCTTTAAGAAGAAATGATTGAGGCGGCGATGAATTATTCGTTCTAACCCTTTAGAAAAAAACGGAAGTATAGATATTGGTCTATAGTTACCGAAGTCGTTCTTATTTCCTTTTTTATAAATTACGGCTACTCTGGCTAGCTGCATAGCTGTTGGAAAGTGTCCCGTCATAAGCGCTACATTATAAATATGTGTTAGACATGGTGTAATTATTTGTAAAACATATTTTACTGGGCGACTTTGTATATTATGAGAGTCGAGGCTATTCGTATCTTTCAGACTTTTGAAAATTGAAAAAACCTCAAGCTCGTCAGTCGGTTCAAAAAATATTGATTCTGTTAACCTATCACTTAGAAAATCAAAAATGCCGGAATTATAGTGACTGTCACCTACAGTCGAAAAAAAGTAATTGAATGATGCAGCGAGATCTGAACCCGATAGCTCAGTTCCATTAACCGTTAAGCTTGTGATCGCTTGGGTATTAGTATGTCTATTCAGGAGCAAATTTAGACGCCTCCATTTTTCCTTAAGATTGCTAGAAGTCTGGCGACCAAAGAAATTATTATAATACATGTTTCTCGCCAATTTAATTTCCCTGTTTAGTCGGTTGCGTAAGGACTTATATTCTGCGAGCACGGTAGGATTTTTGTTTTTAATAAATATTGCAAATAATTTGTATTTCTTTTTAACGAGTCTAATTAAACGTCTAGTCATCCATGGTTTACGCGCACTTTTGCATGGTTTTATTTCTACAGTGGGAAAACATTCATTATATACTGATGTGAAGAGCTCTAGAAACCTGTTAAAAGCATCATCTGCAGCTGGCTCATTATAAATAGGGCTCCAATCCACCAAGGAAATACGGTACTTAAATAGGTCGAGCCTTTCTTGAGATATTAGCTGGCGTCTCAATTTAGCGACATCGTTCGAACAAGTTGCTTTTTCTATACGCAAGAAAACAGGTAAGTGATCGCTAATATCGGCAGCGATGCGACCGGAAAAGAATGCGTTGTCATTATTAGTAATAATTAAGTCTAAAGTGGAAGCAGAAGAAGCTGTAATGCGCGTTGGACTGTTAATAACATTTTGAAAACCTGTTGAATGAAGTGTGAGTAACATTTGCTGTTGCATTGGGCTATTCGTACCCATATCAATATTAAAATCGCCAGCTATGATGGACAAATAATTTTCAGAACTAAATAAAAACGTTTCACGTTCAAATATCTCCCAAAATTCGCCAAAGTTTCCATGAGGTGGTCGATAGACAACCGACAATATATTACGTCCAGATTTCACGGTAAGCATTTCAATATCAGAGTTGGAAAAAGAGTGATCAGATAACATATCACAGGCATAGCTACTTTTTATCAGCATAGCTACGCCCCCGCCACGCTTTTTTGTGCGATTGATATAAAAAGAATTATACCCCGGAATACGTACAACATCACTATCAGCCCGATACCAAGTTTCAGACAAGAAAATGACATCGAAAGAACACGAGGAACGCGTTAGATCGTCTAAGAGGACAGTTAGCTCATCAGCTTTATTCACGGCAGATTGCATGTTAAGATGTATAACTTGAATATATTTATTCGCATCTAGTGCTATAGACGCATTAAACTCAGAAGGTGTGAAAAGAGGGGTGTCATTCATGAGGGTATAAAGAATCAGGTAATAAATCTATGAAACAATGGCGCCATTTACGTCATTTTGGACAAGTCAATCAGAGAATAGATCCGGAGGACATTAGAGTCGTCTGTCTTCCGTGCGAAAACAGCGCCATTCCTTGTCCACACGTGCTTCCAAGATACTTGTTTCTTTCTAGAAATCGTAGCACCAAGTAGCCGTTTGTTTTCTGGCGTTAGATGCTCATTAACATAGACACGCTGGTCTGGTCCTTCGAACCCGATTTTAGAAGTAGACAGTTTCAGCTTCTTGGCAGCGGCCAGGAACACGTTGCGCTTTGACCTAGACATGAACCTGACAATTATGTTTACTTCGTTTTCTTTTTTGGTTGGAACGCTGTGGGCGATGTCGATTTCAGCAAGGTCAAGTGGGACTTCGATAGCCTCTGCGATTTTTATAGCCATGTCGTGTGCTCTTTCTCTGACAGTGGCAGGCAGGCCCTTAATCTCAACGTTATTCAACCGGCTGTATTGTTCCAACTCAGAAATCCGTGCTTCAGCTTTCATCAACTTTTCTGTTAGGGTGTTATTTTCTTTCTTTAGCTCAGCATAGTCTTCCTTGGCCTTCTTCACTTCAGATGTAAGAGCGCGTAGCTCCGTTAAGGCTTTCTTGAATTCGTCAGCAGCATTCGAGCTGTATTCAAGGCTCTGATGTACTGATCGTAGTTCTGCACGCATCTCGCGCTTCAAATCCTGAATGGCTTTCATAACCTCAGCACAATCAGAGCTCATGATAGGCGAACCGCGCAAGAAGCACAAAACACTCAAAGCAGTCAAATCAGTCGGCAGTGGCAAAGAGAAAGGAAAGGCTTTATGTAGGTGCAGCCGCACTCACCTATGAATGTGAAGCAAAACAGTAGAACAGTCAGTGTTTCTGTTCGCTGTGCCACTGCCGACTGGAAGTACAGTTCGTGGATGGTGCGCTTTTCTAGCACGGATGGTGGTCACGTGCTGATGACGTCCCAGGCAGCCGCTCCACAGACGGTGATGATGTGGCACACTTCTCTTGCGTCGACGAAGGCTGGGCTCGATAAGACGTCGTTGCGTAGTCCTATGAATGTGAAGCAAAACAGTAGAACAGTCAGTGTTTCTGTTCGCTGTGCCACTGCCGACTGGAAGTACAGTTCGTGGATGGTGCGCTTTTCTAGCACGGATGGTGGTCACGTGCTGATGACGACTTCCTGTTCACTTCCTGTAAACATCTGCTCGCTGCGCCTGTCGGGAGATGGCGCCAAAAGAAAATAGCGTTGGCAATTCGGTTGTCTGCACAGGGGCCAAACGTGAACTTTGGAAATTTGTTTTTTCCTATTTCTTACAGAAAGAGTACCACACCTTGAGATTTTACGCGGTAAGACTGACCGGCTCAACGCACATTCGCTGAAACATTAAGCTTCCTATGTGCAGGCGCCAATTTTTACTCTCGTTTTAGAGCGAAATGTTTGCCTGAGACACCCTATATATAGGAGATGACATAAGCACGGCGGGCGCCACGACGCGATAAGCCAGGTAAAGTCCTATTGGCACGCGCCAAACTAACCTCCGCCCAGAGCCGTATATTGGGAGAGTTTGGTCAATGGGACGAGCCGGCGAGAGCAGGGGTGGAGCCACGAAAGCGTCGCCGCCGCCAGCGCCGCATATTCCCCCTGTGATGATCCTGTGAAGTAAAATGAATCCTAGATGACCTTGAAGGGGCCGCGCATCGCGGCGCAGGTATTTTTTGCTTCTGCATGAGGCTGTAATTACATAAATGGGTAATTGTAAGATATGGTGTGGAAATAGGGGTCATCTAGGTCCTGAGTGCGTTTACTGAGCCAGAAAAGGTGACATTGAACAGAAACATTTTCCCAAACATGAGGCGACGCTGCGAACATGGGGTGCGCGTTCTGGGTTAGGGTACAATTTTCACGGAGTCGTGTCCACGGTTTAAGCCGTTGTTTTACCAGATGTTTAAGCCGCGGTTGCGACTGCAATAAAAAAAAAATGGCAGAGTGCATTCTGAATGTGGCTATGACGTCAACGTAACGTACGTTGCCCATTCAGTTACGGTGAGTCGCAAACTTTACTCTAGCGTGCTGAAATAAAATATTTTAATATATTCTTATCTACAAATTCCATTATAGCGTATTTGTTAAGCTCGTTGCCTCCGTTAGGGGAACATTCGTGGCAAGTAATTGGTCACAAGAGCTGTCAATCAAATCACCCATGGTCATTGAAATAATTTCGACCAATAGCATGCCCTCATTTTCCCCCTATTCTTCCCAATTAATTACCAAACTCTCTACATATATAGGACTCTGCCTTAGCCGACAATATTTCTGCTATCCAAATGACGAAATTGAAAAAAAAAGTGTATATTTTTGTGGCACCCTGTCGCGCCCTTTTCCCGCTCGGAGCGTCTGCCCTAGCCTTAACGGACACTGGATTGAACACCACGCCATAGATCTTTCAGCGTTAACTTGTTTCTAAAACTATTATTGCCGCCGTTGAGGCGTGAATCTAGAGTTTATAACGAAGAAGTGCCTAAGCGAAAGGCCTAGCTCTTGTGCCAATTTCTATATGACGTGGAGCACCCGAAGAACTACTTAAAAAACAAGCACGTTTCCCACATAGAGACATGGGAAATCGGGCACATGACAGGCTGCCATTTACCGCATATCGAAGAGCCATCTGGTGCAGCCGCTTGGAACCAAGGAGAAGAGAGGACTTTATCCGGCAGCTCGGACGCGCCCATGGTGGCCACAGCTATATATATATATAGCTGTGGCCACCGCGCGCTATATATATATATCTTACACTGTGGTTTAGGTCTACGGTGTTGCAGAGTTACCGGTAGGTGGCACCAGTGTGCCGATGTGCTCCAGTCTCCTGTGGTGTGTTCTCTCGTTGGAAGCGATCACGAGTGATCACAACCCAGATGGTCACAGGCAAATGCAAATGTGCGAACCAGCCTGTCAGTGCCCACACACAGGTCGCCACCTGAACCCGCCCTTCCTCCCATTTGCCTCCATAGAGCGGCGCGCCAACGTTGCGGGTGCTGCACCTGAGCGACACGCACGTGGACATGGGCTACGAGGAGGGCTCTTTGGCCAACTGCGAGGAGCCCTTGTGTTGCCACGCCAACGACGGCAGGCCCAAGGGGCCGGAACATGTGGCCGCCGGACACTGGGGCTACTTCAAGAACTGCGACATCCCACCCAGGACCTTCGAGAGCATGCTCAAGCACATCCGGGACAGCCAAAAGGCGAGCAACGCTGGCATACCCAGGCGGCAGCATTAAATTTTTAAGGATATTACCGTTAATGCTTTGCATGTTGGGTTGAGGTTTACCGTCGATGTTAAAAAATACCGTCTAGGTAGAGCAAGTCGCCGCCCGGTTTAAAGAATTTCGCTGATAGCATTCTTTCATTCTTTCATTCGTTCGAGGTGCCCCTGCGTTACATTGCTGAAACGCGCCTTTTAAAACGTTAAAGTGATCATGCTGGCTTTCCTCGAGGCTACGGAATTCATATTCTGCGGTTCAAAAAGGCAATGTCCTAAGTTACAAAACTTCATTAAAAAATGTTGTCTTTTACATTTACATTAGTGAAAAAAAAAAAAAAAAAACTGAAAGCGCAGGCGAGTTGGTGCGTATTAATCAAGATGTGTAAACGCCCAGACTGGGAAGGAAATACAAAGTAGAAGGTAAACAAGTGAACAGACAGGGTTTCTTGAGACGCCATCTGTCAAAATTTTTCTATCCCTTCTACTTTGTCCTCTTTCCCAGTCCTTGGATTGATACATCATGGCACAATGTTAAGGTCGACATTCTAAAATCTTCGAAATTGCAACTTTGGTCACTGACAGCATGAGAGCGGCAGGAGGTATTCACTGGTCTTGCCTCGAGCGCGAGATTTTCGATGATGCTTCGGCTGAGCTCCGAGCATACACGCGCAGCACAGCGGAAGGCAACGAGCGCCTGCTGGAAACCTACCATTTGAAAGAAGGGCCCTCTCATTCCGTTAGTGACTATCAACGATCTTATGTCGTGTTCCCGCGCTTCACTTTTAGAACGCCAGAAAGCTTTGTTTGTCTATCTGGAGTCATATTTTTTTTTTTCGACGATGAGTGGTGATCTCGAGGAGTCATTTGTGCTCTAAATATCAGACCGGTGTGTAATACCCGTACTGATGAGGCGTGCCGATCTTATGAGTTTGACCCACACCCAGATCGACTTCGTAATCTGGACGGGGGACATTGTGGCCCATGACATCTGGAACACTTCCCGGGCAAGCAATCTGGCCGTCATAGATTACACCACGAAGACGCTGGCCAAGTATTTGGACCCCAGCGGCGTGCCCGTTTTTCCAGCCCTCGGAAATCACGAGGGAGAACCTGTGGACAGGTGGGCGGGGGCGTCGGCGTGTGCCCTTTTCTTCCAGTCTAAGAATCACTAGAAATGACCAAGCGCTTGTGACATCGCCTCGTCCGGTATTTTCTGCAGCCCGTAATTCGTGTCAGCAGTCCGATGTTTCGGAGGTTACCTTGTTATTCATTTTTTTCACTTCCTCACCCTATCGAGCATTGGCCTCGCACCTGCTTCATGAGTGTCAATGCCAGTGTAACATGTCCCTGCCGACAATCGTCAATTTAATTTTTTTTTGGAATTTATAAATGGCGATTTCTCGGAAATAACGCTTGCAGTCAACGAGTGGGACCTATATATCAGATACACAATTTATTCATCGGTAACAAAGGCGCAATACATTTGAATTCTACGTTATATTTATACTTCTAGATTCCACAGTTAAAACTACCCAATTATTCTGTTTTCTTTTTGCCTCGCTGAAACCTAAAGAAACTTGTAAAAATAGTATGATGATGATGTTATAGCGCTCTCTTGAAAATCAGCGAGCAACAATAAAAAGACGAGTTTAAACTTTAGTCTCGATGATTTTGATGAACCCGTGGAGAGTAGAATGCGTCGTGCGTGCATTACGCGCGGGTTATCTCATCTGCTTAGTTACGGGAAGCTTTGGGTCGACGCACTCACGCGCATTCATCAGAATTTAAATTAATTCAGGAGTGGAGTGTGTGAGGAGTATGTTTTAATTGACGAGTGTTCCAATGTTTGAATTTTTGAATAATGGTTTCAAATAATACGCTATTCGATATTTGTTGACTTCGGCGGGATGGCCCCGTTGAGTGCGCTTTTTCCAGAGCACGGATGCACCACGGAGTGGTTGCATCCGTGCTCGGGAAAAAGCACGGATGCATCTCCGCAGTGCACATGTGCTTGGTAAGAAGCGTGCTCAACGGGACTCGCTCGCTGCGATCAACATTTCGTGAAATACGAATATAGTAACCGCGCAATAAGGGGAAAATCACACTTTCAAACGGGATGTCGCATGCGCCAGTCTGGTACAATAAACAGTCTGGTACAAAAAAAAACGGAAACTTCGTGAATATTGACATCTTCATTGCAGTAAAACTTTCAATATAACCTGCGGGTTGCCATGAGCAGACAGAAAAAAGGAAAAGAAAACAAAAAGCGTAGCTGTTGTGCGAGAGTGTGTGTTAACCAGAGATGTCCTACGAACCTGCGTTAATTATTCGTGATCGTGACGTAGGAGCAACATTACGTGACGAGCTAAGCTTTGCCATTCGAAGACCACTTGCGTGCTCCGACGGTAACCTGCCACCTGCTTAGCAGGTTACCTTCGGGTCGTACATGTCCCGCTCTTTGCACTCCCTTTCATTTCCTCCTTGTGATGCTCACCAGAGGCATTAGGTTACATCTCACGCGGTCCGGGGTTTCATTCCCGTTGAGCGGCGTGGTAAATCTCGCTTGTTACAAATATTTAAGCCAAACTATGATTATGTATGTTCAATTCGCAACTTTCAGCGATGGTTGTACCGCGGTGTGAGAATCGCGCTTCCAAACTCTAGGAGGATCGGCTTCACGATAAAGGTTCTTGCCTACGCCTTCCTGATGTGAAAAAAAAAAAAAATAAAGCAGGGATGGGCAAAATACATGCAAGTATATATCGATATACAGATACAAAATACTTCGTCAAAAATGTATTTAATTACAAATCTAATTACATTTCCCAAAAAAACATTTCAGTACAAGATACAAATACAAGGAAATGTATTTCGCGTCCTCCAAATACTTTTCCAAATACATTCCCAAGAATTTGCGTCAGCGACTTCAGAGCACCTGCAAGGAGTTTCTGGGTATCTCATTTTAATTTTGCATCGCACACTCGTGAGTTCGTGCGGGAGGCTCTAGTAACGTAATAGAAATATAATCACAAAAAAATGTAATCAGCTTGGACGTAATAGGTGAGAAAAGTAGACATTCAAGCAGCTTTTTTTTTTGTCGATTACGTTTTGGTATAGACCAACAAAGAACCGAGACGACCAAGACGCGCAGCACTAGCTAGATAACTTTTTATTGTAGCACCTCGCACCAGTTACGAAAATCTGGACGACCCGCGCATTTAGAATGTTCCGGGCAAAAATATGAATGGAAATCAGGCTCGAAAGCATCACAAGTTGTCACAGGCACTTATTTAGGCAGTCTTTCTGTGAACGTCGATTTCGTCACTATACTTGCCCTGGACTAGCACCGTAATCACAAAGTCACTAAACGCTTGTGCTTGATTGAGAGACACCGCGTTCGGCGCAGAACGTAGTTTTCTTCCTGCTCTGGAGAGTGCCTTTAAAATAAAGCCGGAGGCGAAAAAGAAAAAAATCACCATGGCCGAATAAAGGATGGCGACTCTATCTTACAACCACATACATAAAAACAAGAATTGTCGTGACAATAAATTTGAGGGATGTATTTTCGCCCACAGATTTGTATTTAATTACAATTGTATTTGAAATACCCCCGTTTTAGTATTTGAATACACACGTCAAATACATTACCCAATTTGTAATTAAATACAAATGCAAAATACACAAAGTATTTGAAATACGTATTTCAAATACTTGTATTTGAAATACTGCCCATCCCTGAAATAAAGTAAGATATTTTAATAGTGCTCGCATTAGCGAAGCCAGAATTCCTTACCCGTCGCAGACCCAGCCTCGTACTGCGGTTCTACGACGCTTATCCAGATGACAGCCCTTTCGATCGGCACCGGTGCTCCCGGTATAGGTAGCGGAAGTTGCGAATTATGACTAAGGATTACTTATGTTTGGGTGCTTATGCACTGCTTGCTACAAGATGAGTATTCTTTAAGATTCTTTCGCCTCCGTGTGAAGCTTTTTGGCCACACTCGGGAGTGACGTATTTTATATGAAATCCATCCCATACACACATTTCGTGCTGAAAACACCGAGTGTTTTCGTGCTTTGAAGCTAACCCTTCTTTCTAAGATACATTTAGTTTGCACCCATCCGAGAAGGTCATCGAGAGCGTCCTCACCGAAGCGGTGTTGTGTCCTTCCCTCAGCTTTCCGCTGCCGGAAGTGAAGGGGAACATGTCCATCTCCTGGCTGTACGACGCCCTGGTCGAGCAGTGGAGCCACTGGCTGCCGGAATCTACGGCCATCACGCTCAAGCGGTCAGTCCCACCGGCAACATACGCCAGGCGTGCTTTTGGAAAAACATGATTTGTCGAAGAGAGCCTCCTCCTAACGGGCACCTTGTTTCAGGTTAAGGAGGCCCTAAAATGGGCTTTAAGCGCGAACACATTGCGTTGCCAAACACCTGCACGAACGCGCCTGCAAGGACCAGAATGACATCAATAAGAAACGGAGCTGCATTTTTAGAGCGCAGCTCTTATTCGCCCGTTTCCTGCTTGAGCGGCGTCGGCGTCGCCGTCGGCGTAACCGTGCGATGCCTTATGGTTAAATTTTCCCGCCGAAACGTTTCCCCGTCGAATTTAGCGGAAAAATTTCCCCGCTAAATTTGGCGAAAAAATTTCCCTGCTAGTTTTAGCGGAAAAATTTCCACGCTATATTTTCCGGAAAAATTTCCCAGTTAAATTTAGGGGAAAAAATTCCACGCTAAATTTAGCGGGACAATTTCCCTGCTAAATTTGGCGGAAAATTTCCCCGTTAATGTTAGTGGGACAAACTCTCCGAATTGGAGCTGTGCGCTAATTCGACGTTACAGGGAATTGTAAACGTCTTTCATTTTTTTTTTTTCTGCTGCTTCGTTGCAGGCTCCAACCTGATTCAAATGGTACGATTTGATGTAGGATTTCGCGATTGCGACGTCGCTTGTGTGGCAACCAAAACCAGGGGGAAGCTTCGCTGACTGACGTCGCAGCTGCGAATTAGCGAGGGAAATCGCACCATCCGAATTAGGTTTGCGTCGAAACGCAATTCAAGGTCGTCGGAAACCCAATGCGTGGATTAAATTGAAAGAAACCTCGTTCTCTCAGTGGGTTAGGCATCGTGTCGCGAAGCGTGCCGTGCCCATTGCTGGCACAGGGCAGTCACTTCATGTCTTTTATAGCACACGGGGGTTTTGCTCTCGTTGGTGCTGATCGGCCTGAAGTGACGAAGTTGAGAGCCATGGGTGCACCGAAGCTGATGTCGTGTAGATACCAACATCTTGTGCTGATGACAACGCATGTCCCAGAATGCATGCTTCGGACGCGGGAAGCTTGAAAGGCGCATGAGCCACGTCATGCACGCAGCCGCCCATCGCTCGAAAGAGCAGTACCGGCAAGCAGGCGAAGACAAGTGGGTTAGGCATCGTGTTGCGAAGCTTACCGTGGCCACTAAAGTCCCTAGATAACAGCGTGCTACAAGTAGCGACATCCTTTGAAGCACCGACTGCCTGACGGTGCAGGTTTCAGGAAGCGAATGGCGGCGCACAGCAGAGGTTTGAAGTGAATGCCGGCATTTTGGTTCACTGGAATGTGCCTTGTCATTGGTATTGCTTGTCGTTACTTGTAAAAGAAGTATCAAGGGACTTTAGTGCCCACCACTCTCCAAGCAATAACTTGTAAAAACATGGTCGCGAAGACAATTTCAATGAGAAAGCGCTTTCCCAGACTACCGAATGTCGCGCTGACGTTTTGTGCGTTGCAAATTGACCTTTGATGTTGCGAAAACATTACCTCAGGTAAGATATGTCTGAAAACTGGACATGTCTACTATCGGGACAGAAATTCTGCGCATGCATATGATTATGTATGTCAACAGAAATGTGGAAAAAGATAAATGTCCAGAACCGATTCTCTGGACATCAATTAGGGGGATATGTGCCCGAGTGGCTAGCGCACACTCCAGTCTAGCACACTCTAGAGCGGAGCACCTGGAGCGAACGCTCGCGCTGCAGAACCCAGAGATTCTGGGTTTAATCCCAACCCCTCCCCGTTTCGATGTGAATAAGCATCGTAGCGGCGTGAGGTCTTTTATCACTACTGCGTGGTGAACGCTAAAGACCCACAGGCTAGCGGTTTTACTGCACTGACTAAATTGTAATCTACAGTAATAGACCGGGCACCCATTGGAGCTGACGAGCTTCCGGCAGTATAACAGTACGCGCAGCATAATTAATTTAACTACATCAATCGCTCGTTTGCGGAAATGAAACTTTCAATGTACTAAAACCGACCAATACCATTGTCAACTATAATTATAAAGTTTTGGATATAACCCGAAAAGAAAGGAATTCCGAATTTTTTTCTAGAAACACCCGATTTCTACTCTTTTACGAGCTTGAAAAATACCGCCCGATTTTTACCCCTTATTTTCGAAAAGTGCAAGAACCTGAAAGCGAGGGGCTCTAATTATACAGAACGTTCTTAATTTCCTTAAATATTCGCTTTGGCAGTAGAAACGAGAGGACGTAACTCGAGCGCCGAACAGGGTGCCTCTAGTGGTAAACAGATTGGTTTTGTCGTGACTCGGGTACTTGCCACAGCATTGAAAATGCGCCGGAGCGAGCTAGATATCGCGAATTCATGCAATTTATACGCCTTTCTACATCAATTAAAATATATACTGCGTAGTTTTATTTCGTAATAAAAATAAAAACTCACCATCTGTGAAGTTCTGCAGGTTTTTACTGAAACCTTCAATCAATCAATCAATCAGTTTATTTTTTCTTTCAAGGGGTACACACTCCTTGAAATGGTACCTTGGTGCAAAAGGCGATCGTGTCGCCTGACTGGGCACCAAGGTCCAATGGGGGGGGGGGGGGGGGGGGGCAAAATCCAGCAGCAACAGCAATTAAGGTAAAACTTCGACAAGAGAAAAAAATACTTATACAAGATATAACGGATACACACATACATACACTCAAGAGAAAATGGATGCATACATAAAATTGTAAAGAATGAATACTAGCACACATTGATGTTGTTTAACATTGTCATAAAAACAAAGATTAAAAAGTAATACAATACATCAAGCAAAAACGAAATAAATAAAAGTAAGAAAAGCACTTCGGTATAAACCATAAAAGTGAAGAAGCTAGAATACATTCCTAAATTCCCGGCACATATAAAAATAGCAATCTGGCATTGTCCACACAATAAAATTAAAATATAAACGTGATCACAAGGTATACAAGATTTTTAATAAAAGCGGATGCACAAAAAATGCGGGTTAAAATTAAAAAAAAAAATGTATTTCAACATATCTATAGAATTATCAACTCAGTGGCAATCAAAAAGGAGCGTAGACTTTTTTTAAATGTAGTTCGATTTGTAGTAATTATGAAATTATTACCAACAGCATTTAGAAGCTGGGAAACCTGAAAATTGATCATTTGTTTTCCGTAGTTAGTCCTAATAGATGGTAGTCTGTTAGGACTACCATCTATTATCTTATTACACTTCGTTTCACCATAAGTCTAGACGCAGCCGACGCTACCGTCTGAGGGGACCAATCAGACGGCGTCGAAAACGCACCATCATGGTGTTCAGCATGTGTCTTTACGTGCTCTATCACAGCTGAACCAATCAGAAACGCAAAAGGCCTAGTGACTTGCGCTTTCTTGTCCCTTAACCACGTAGCGACCGCTACGTATGGATTCAAGCTGAAACGAGGTATAGACAGTGCTGCTCGACTTGGGTGCGACGTGTGCGTAGTTGCGAGTTGCGATTTTCACTATGCAGTTCGTGTTACATGTGCTTTAAACTGCGGGTGACATATATGTGACCCTTTGCTAAAGACGATGTAAGGCAGTAGACACCTAGGATAAATTCTAAAAGGTTCAGATACAATATTGTGGACATGCGCGTGTTCCGTAGCAGATTCATCAACGTCATCAAAACAGCGCGATTTGGGTTCCAACTTCAATGGAAATCAAGCGTGGCTCTTGAATCCAGTGTTTTTTGCCCTATGCAATTGTGGACCTTTGAATACAACAAAACCAGAGAACGCCAAACACGATAACTCTCTATACTTGATCGTTTTTGGAACAGGCTAGTGAATGTAGACATCAAAGCCGGTTTTCGGAAGAATGAAATCTTTTTACGCACGAGTGCAAGATCTGCGATAACGATGACCTATAAAGTTGATTATCCGCATATGTGGTGTACGTAAAGCGGTGACTGTACGACACAAGGCGCGACAAATCTCGCACTAACGAGCGATCGCCGGTATTTCCCTTTGTTTCAGTCAGCGAAAAGGCTTAAAATCAAAACAACCAGCATAGTGGAATACACTCATCTTGGGCTCATTTGTAGCTGATAAAATTTAATACTGTTGATAATAAATGACAGTCAGAGCAAACTGCGAAACTGTGCCGATGAGCTCACGCCGACTGTTGGGAATTCATGCAAATGGTCGGGATAACGTTTTACCGCAACACATATCTTCTACGCCTTTCCGAACTTCCCGCAAAACTAATTTCTATAGATACGGGAAGTGAGCCGGTGATCGACGATGAATGCAGTCGCGATGTGAAACGACGCGAACGTGAGCCTACAGCCAACTTCTCATCGCATATGTATTTGAACTTTACTACATGTTTGGCAAAACAAAGTCGTGCTCTCTTTGTCAATGTTATTTAGTGCACAAACAAATATATCTGATATCAGCATCGCTCATTCGAAGGTTATAGAAAGTATATTTTTCTGGTTACGGGACATTTGACATGATTTATCCACCTAGGCACACCGAGTGTAGTCCGCGGATCAGACTGCTCCGTTGCATCTACATTTTGTCAGACAAAAAAAGCAAAGGAAAAATATTGTCTCACACCATACTTGTGTTCCCATTCATAGGACACATTTTCCTTTGACAAAAGCGTGCCACTACACATGCCTTTCCAGGCTGTTAGCTGCATTCAATTCTGTCGTAATGAGAACCCCCCCGTCCTCCGTAGTGTAGCTCTCCGCCGGGGAGTCACGGCAATTCTGCACCGACTACAGTCGGGTGACGCCGAGCAATGGGCGATGGCAGAGCTACAGATAGACGAAAGGTTTGACCAACGGGCGTGGCCCGCTTGGCAGCTCGTCAACTATGTCACGCGAAGGCCATGGCCACGCCCCCGTTCGGCGTCTTCGAACCCAACTGACGTCGTGGACCTATACTTGCCGCGCTTGGGTCTAAGTTTCCTTTAACGTATGACTGTGTTGTACGAATAGCGAGTGTTCTAAAATGCGCCTTTGGCTCACGGAAACGCAAAGAGGGGCATCACAATCAAAGGAGAGATACAAGTAGGCGTTTATTAAACAATGAGGTTGACCGGCGCCTAAATCCTGTTTGCTACATTGCGAAATGAACGGATATGAAAATCGTAAGATCGAAGCAAGAAAGGCAACAAGAGAAAGATACAAAAAAAAAGAAAAAGAAAAAAAAAGTGGAACAAAAGATCGTTGTAATAAATTAAAATAAAAATAAAACCGAAAGTACGTCACTGGAGGCCATTATAGAAAATGCGCGACGAGGCAGCCAGGCTCGTGCCATCATTCAGTCAAGTCGGAGTGAAACAAACTCACCTGGGCGCCTCCGAGGGATAAGTAAGAGCACGTTGTGCACCAGCAGCAGACAAACTTGCACGCCGTATTTTGTTTTAGATCAGGCGCTAGCAGTATTTATGCTGTCTCGTGTATATTCAGGAACTACGAGTTAGTTCGCGGTCACCTTGTCAGTTTTCTTCTCCGTACGCGCGGCGACAAGATCCCGCTCGTGCGTAGCGCGTACGTCGGAGCGCCGAGAAAATTTAGATCTTCCATGTTTTAGCTAATTTTGTTCCGTTTTTGACGAACATTTGGCAAATTTTTCGGGTCAGCGAGCTTGTAGAGATGCGTTCAATTTTTTTACAAAATTCAATTGTCACGCCAGGTCTTCTTTAGTGCACCCGTGCTTTTCTAAAAAAAAAATTGACCGCTTGAATGAGCTACGTTCTTTATGGCATTTCCTCCTCATCTTACGTCAACGCAACAAATGAGATGGCATGCCCGAGGCGAAACTCCCGATATCGGTTGATCGAGCCGTGCGTGCCGACCGCGATACTCGACCGAGCTCTTTTATCAATGATATAGCCATCTCGTTATCTGAACATCTTCGAGGGAGCCGGGAGGTTACGAAGGCTGCGCTCCAAATTTTACTCGAATGGACCTCAGTTACTCCGGCGGAGTATTTCACGGGACAACACAGATAGACTAACGGTGGGCGCTGGTAGGTTTTCGAACTCCAAGGTACAGAATCTTTGCCCTAGAGTGAAATTGACTAAATGTTGGAACAAGGCCGAAATAACTTCGAGCGACTCAGCGTACAGGACTACCCGCGAAGGGTAAACTAGTTTCTTTTCAAATACTATATTTAAATCATATTGATATGCCGTTCCTGAAAGCAGCGATTTAGTGTTGTGTCGTTTACCCGCAGTCTCGGGGTTTTCCTCTCCCCGCAGTCTCGAGGTTTTTTCCCGTAGTCTTGGGTTTTTTTCAACTAAGTACTCATATTCCAGCATTCATCGTCCGGTTAGTACATATATATTACCGAGATACAAAAAAAAAAACCTTGATTTTTTGTAGGTCAATTAGCTTTTATAAGAAATCTTTATTCGGAGTTTTAATTCATTCAGCTCATGGTCTAGAAAAGAAAACAAAAGACAGACACATTTCTCTCCTGCTGTAAATAGTCGTGTTATGGTCTTGACCACGGCAGGATCAGCATCATAACTTTAAGGGGAAGCGGCTAGTTAAGAGCTTATACCAGAAGGTCAAAGCCACTCACCATTACTTATAAACTCGTACGCGTATGATCGCAGCTTTTAGTTAGAAAATAGAGCTGCCGTCGACGTCAAAAGAAGCCTTCTTGCCTTTCTAAGGCGGGGGTATGCCGCAAGCGTCGACATTACTTTCATAAACTATATTTTTTTACGTTTCTTCTTTTTGTTTCCGGGTCATAAAAACAAAATCTTGGCGGCTGTGATTAAAGCAATGAACGGTACAAGAACCGACACATTTTGTAACCAAAAACCTAGACCAAAAAAAAAAAAAACGTTTTTACTCAGAATAACACGTGACGTAACTTTGGGCAACGGAGGAGACGCTACCAGGTCGCTCGCTTCACATAAGAAATCAGCCTCTTTCTTCGAAATGCGAACTTCTTTCGAAACGGCCCTTTTGAACATGAATGTCTTCTTTTAATAAATTGCATAACATAGTCGTAGGTATCACTATGTTGTGTAGTATCGGGAACAACCTCAGGTCCACAGTTGACTAGCGCTCGCGAGTTGCCTAGGAGCACGCGCTGTATGAGCCCTCGGCTTGGTTTCGGCTACAATTACATGCTCTGCATGAGCACTCGGGCTGAGACTCGTGTACAAGCACTGCCATGTCCGGAATAGCCCAACTCTTGCCATGCCCGGAACACAGCATGTGCCGCGCGCATTGCTAACCACAAAACATTGCTATGATTAAAGAAAACGGAAATGCACGCCATATTTACTAGGTCGCGTGTCACATGTTCTGGCTGCGAGTTGAGGGGATAAACACAACCCGTATTTTTTTAATCCTTTTCTGTGTTGCGAATGCTAGTGGCTTGAGAGATTGACTACTGTGTTTTTTTTAATTTTGTGAACGTGAAGGATTCATTCGGGGAAGTATTTAGTGAAACAAAAGAAGTCGCTTGACGGCCCTTTCATCATTCGGTTGACAGTTATGTTTACTTATGCCCTCTTTCAATTTTCGAGGGAAACTATTTTTTCACAATAAAAATACCAAAATGTAGACATTTCAGTGATCAAATAATTTTTCGACGCTGAAAGAGACGTTATTGTTCAAACTTAGTCTTGTGCGGGTGTCCAAGTTTTAATGAACATGTTCTTATTTCAGAGGAGGTTTCTACGCAACGAAAGCTTTCCCTGGACTCAAGATCGTTTCTTTGAACATGAACTACTGCAACAGTTTGAACTGGTATGTTGCGGGGGTTTCCGCTCGTAGATTTAGTTTCTACGAACGACACCTTGTGCACTACTTGTATCTCGTTTTGGTTCCCTTGTTTTTCAAAAACTGCTATGAAGAAAAACAAAATACCTAAATTTTCTTTATTTTTATCATGTATATTATGAATTTTTTTGATCGCGATATGCCATGTACAACCAAGTTATGTCATGAAAAAAGGTGCACATTCTTTTAATACTACCGCTCTTTCTTTTTAAGGCAGTAATTCACTTTGAAAACAAGCGGAACTGCACATGTCCTTAAAGTAGTAGACCTCCAATCTCATAAAATTCAGACATTTCTTTCTATTTATTTATGTAATCATACGTTACTTGGTTATTTTGTTTGTTTGCTAGTTTCTTTGTTTACTGTCCGAGCCAGAAACATTACAGCTAGGAGCGAGTTACATGAAAAAATAGAAGTACAACAAAATGTGCAAGTGCGACTGCAATTAAGTAATCTTGCAAAACTGTTAAAATAGATTACGCATGACACTTCCAAAATGTAGGATATCGAATACCATGGTTATTGTTCCGGGTAGGTGATTCCACATTCCAAAAGTGCTGTCTTGTTTGTTTTCTTGCGCAAAGCACAAACATCATGCTCCCCATCTAAATCAGCGTGCCGGCAGCCGTACATATCTGGTTTAAGTTTGGTCACAACAGGTAAGTTTGAGCACACTAAATGTTCGAACCCATTTGAGACGTTCGCAAAAATCGACTTTTTGATGTATCGCGCTGTAATTTACTACAGAGGTGGGGAAAGGTTGTGGAGGATTGTTTTGAAAATATCAAGAGCTTAACCTACGTCATTCAATAGAAGAGAAAAAGAAGGGCCTGTTTTGGGCGATCTACTGCGGCATTCGTAGACGGTGCGTGTTGCCTGTAAAATGCTGCCGACAGATATAGGAAGAGTCGAGTGTGCGCAAGCGCCGAGTTTCGCAGGCGACCTCCCGAAAGTTTTAACTACAGAAGGGTGGTGAGCTGGTATAGTTGGTATGATGATACAATAACAGTTTCCTCAGTGCGGTGCACGTCTCTCTAATGTAAACTTTTCAAAGCTAGATTTAAAAAAAAAAATATACTCCAACCAAAATTCCTAAAGGGTTCCGCTCAACATTTTAAAACCTGCTCTGTTTCTTTATGAGGGATTACTAAACCGTGTTGAGTAGCAGCTGCTTTTATCTTCTTCTTAGTTCATTATAACTCGAAATTTCTTCTTTTTCTATACAGATGGTTTCTTTTTAATTACTGTCGTCAGGTGGGGAAATTCATAGACATACACCGATGACAAAGTCCGCAGGGACCTGTTTATTTTTCCGGGCGTCTACTGAATGTGTGAAATCATGGCCCGTTCAGCACACGCCGGGACATGAACAGATCTCCCAAACCGTTGCCATTGGTGTATGTTAATGGATTGCGTCGCGTCACGATGGCAATTACCAAGAAACAGTCTGTATAGAAAATAAATACCTTATTAGTTATTATCAACTAAGAATATAGAAGCTGCTGCTGCTCCACGCGATTTAGTCTCCCGCGATGAAGAAACCAAGCAGGTTTTGAAACGTTGGTCTGAACCTTTCTTGGAATTTTCGCTGAAATACTTCCTTTTTAGAGTTAACTTCCTCCACCCAGATATATTTATGTTGAAAATGTTCTGATTAAAAATTTAAAAGCGCCATAATTGCATTTGAATGAATTACATAAGAAAACAGGTATCTAGCTACCTCGGTCCTACCAATTATTTTGTAGGGAGATGATCGGTTAAGACGACGCATCCTTTGGTATCTTGTGCTATCTCATATTGGGTTGCGCATCGCCATGGTAGTCTGCAAATAATGCCGTAGATTGCTCAAAACGGTAGCTTATGTTTTTTTTTAACAAGTTAGGTTTACTTGTGGATATTTTCACTTGAAATTTACACCATTTAACCGGACCTGTGTACTAAATTGCAGCACAATATGTTAAGAAATGAATTTTAGCTTACAGTCTAGAGTGGGTTCGACGCGTTAGTGTAAACGCTGTTGTAAGAAAATGTACATTTATCTATATTATTATAAATGCATTTCCTAACTTGTCATCAGAATCCTTGGTGAAAGAGGGTATAGGTGATAGCGTCATCCACTTGGTCAAAAGTTTACTTTTCACCTTCGAGACGCATGCAAATGTCGCAGAGGGAACCTTTGATGCTTGAATTAGGAAGCAACAAGACCTGTCTAGCTAATTCATTGCACATGCTTCCCTGCAGGTGGCTGCTGCTGAATTCCACAGATCCTGCCGACGAACTTTTGTGGCTCGTCGAACAGCTCCAGGAGTCAGAGATCCAAGGAGAGAAGGTGCCGGCCCATAAGTTTCAAATGCCATGAAATACGAGGGGATTGTAGTTTGAATCGGGAGACTCTATCCACAATTACACTAGATGTGACGGACAGTATGCTAAGAAAGAAAGACCTTGATGATAAAGATGTTCCTAATTATAGTGGGCACCAAGTGACACCTCTGCAAATATTATTTTGTCGTGCATCTTTAACCACATTTTATACTGTCCTCGTCGCACGCGGCATGAGTAGGTTAATTATGAATTCTAGGCCTTGTTCTTTATAGCATGGGTTGTTAGATGCGTGCGGAAAGACGGTGGGCGGCGCAATGATGTGGCTCCTAGCAGTGTCATATCGCGTGCGTATTGTGTGTGGCAGCGGAATGACAGCAAGAATTGCCTCAGTTGTTTCTAATCTTCGTCAGCTTACTTGAAAATCCCGCTACAAAAAATGTTGGGGAGCACGGTCGGCGATAATTTCTTTTACATTATAGATGAAAATTAAAAACACGGTGTTTTCATGCGCTGAAGAAAACAGCCACCATCCTTCCATTTTCTTGAAGCTGAGTTCAATCCTCCAGCGAGTGAAATGCAACCTGATAAAAGGAAAAGCGAAAATTAATTCTTATAGATCTTTTATCAATTACTAAAACTGATGAATATCATCCTGTAGTAGTCGCAATAGCGTCATCGAACGCACAAACACTTTGTAGGTACAAATACACACACACACACAAAAAAGCTGGAGTTGAGTTACACTGCGAAGACACTATTAAATCTAAACTTCGAGCAAGTCCTGCGGGTTGAATCAATTCAGGACACAAACATTGCAACGCTGGACGTTAGTAGGTTGACCAATATTAAGAACGAAATATTTAGTTCGGCGTGAGATTGAGAAAAAAGGACGTGGTAAGAGACGGACGTGGCGGTCGCATTGGAAAGTGAAAGAGCAGACGCCGCGTCCGAGCACAACGCGACGCTCAAGCCGCCGTTGTCATGCGTCACCAACTTGATGCCAATGCGGAGTGCGGCGCGCACTGTTTTGGTGTCGCATGCTGCCAATGAACATCCCGGAAGGAAATTATATTGCACTAGATTGAACAAGCTGCCAAAGTTATGTGTTCGCGCTTGTGGCCGTATTTCCTTCAATGACCCGGAGGAACAGAAAGTAAACGAAATCGCGAGTTCTCACTTGTCGGAAAATGGTAACCAAAAGGAAGTGACCCGATCTAACCAGAAAGCAACTTCCCTGTTTTGACACGCTGCGGCTTCCCCAGCCGGAAGCCGTACCACCGCTCTTCGCGAACGAGTTTGGACTTCCGGTAAGAAGGCAGAAAAAATGTTCGTTTTGTTTTTACGACGACATTCGTGGGACGAAGACCAACCACACATTACAGACAAGGTTCGATGGCGAGTCTGTGGCTTGAGGCTCTACAGAGAGGTTTAATGTTCTGGACAAATTAATTGACACGGACGGATGTGACACCTCGAACAAGGATAATTCCCATTTCGCCAAGGACAGCATTTCTTTCTTTGAGAAGACTAGTTCATAACCCCTTTTTTAATTTGTTTTTTCAAGTCGTTCTGGTTTTCGGTAAATCTGATAAATCCCGAAAAATACTCACTGGTATAAATACTGCGGTTTCGGATTTTTCAGGAAAAAAATAATTTGGGGACTGCCTATTGCAAAAACTCGACTATTAAGATTTTTCTGGAATCCTTAAACAACTTTCACAGCTATTTTTTTGTCACTTTTTTTTGTTTTTTTTTTGTCACTTTTTTTGTTAGTACCAGAAACGAATCTCTACGAACCCTTATCACACAAAGAGGGTGACCTCTCTGTGTAAATCAAAATCGGTAATCAATTCAGTCGTTTTTTTTTTGTTTTTTTTTTTAATACGCATTTTTTTTGACGAGGGCTCAGCCCCGTTTTTTAACAAGTTTCTTTCCGAGCCTGGCATTCCTCTGGCCTCCTTTTGTTGAAGATTGAACTTATATACACGCTCATTTGACCCACCTGTGTTGACGACAGGGATTCCTGATTTGGTCAAAACTTAATTTTCAGTACCAGCGCGCGATGGGCAGGAAGCGAAAACTTTCGACTGATTGGATCAGAGAATACATTTTACTAGGGTGCTTTGCACGTATCTCTAAAGAATGATCGTTTATGGCTGCAAGTTTTGCCACTTGCAAGTAAGCCCGACTAATAAAGGAAGCACCATACGCCTCGCTGAGTACCGGAATTCGAATTGGTACAACCAGCTAGAAAACTTGTCTCCAGAGAAGTAAGTGTTTAATTGTGCCCCTATTTCTGACAAATTAATTAAGACGATACAAAATAAACACGGCTTTTATTGAGTCGTCAATAAAAAAAAAACACTGCTTCAGTACATTTGCCTTCTACTTTCCTCTACCTAGACGAATGACACTATACAAGGTGTTTAATTTTAATTGGAACAGACTAAAAATAAAATATGGTGTATTTGAGAGTCAGACTAGGGTGGCCTAGAGTGTTGAGGCACCCTAAGTCAAAAGAGTGTTTCCTTTATCAGGCTCGGTGGACATTTGACGAGGGGATAATTCTCATGGTGACATGTCATATTAACTAAACCACTATATTAACTTTTTAATTAGTACTCTTAGGGGCCATATTATATTTTCAATATTTACAAAAATTATAATTAAAGCCCAAATGAAGTTTAAAAAAAAATATTTGCGAAAATCTTATGATTTTTTAGATATTAGCCGATACATATTCGAGTTTTTTTGCCTGCCATAAAAACTGTAATCAAAAAGGGCGTTGCGAGCCCACAGTGGAGCATGGAAGACTGACGTCGTCGTCGAAATCATGTCGTCACTATCGCTGCTGCGTGTCCTTAGTAGGTGCGCCGACGTCACAAGTGACGACGTGACCAAAATGACTACGTCATTTTCCCAAGCGTCATTGTGTGTAAGGCTAGATGCGCTCTCTTTGTAAAGTTTTAAATGAAGCGAAAAAATGCGAAATTTGATCGATTTTACCTAGAAAAGCATTACCGATATGTTTTTTATTTGGTTTGAACTCTAATAGTGTTGGCCGTCAAGACTGGATATTTCAACAAAAACCCTAAAACCAAAAATTACAAAATAATTCGCAAGTTTTAGTTAGTTAGTTAACTTAGCATGACTATTTTGGTCCCCTAATGTCCGCTGAGCCTGATAAATACATTGTAAAGGCGGAACTTGCCTCCCACTAACTTTAAAAAATATCTTCGAATTAAAGGAAACATCCTGTATACCCAAGGAAACTCCGAATTTTGTAGGCCTGCGAAGGAATGCTCCGACAAACTCCGAATTTGAGGTAGAAAATAAAACCCGAAAAATACGCTTCAGATTTTCTTAAGAACGAACTCCCAAAATGCAGAACCAGATTATGGCTCATTCGTTGGTGTTTCCAATCACTCAATTCAATGAATGCCTCAGAATTAGCGTCCTGAATGCCGTTCGGTTCAATAAAACCCCAACAGGTTAGCGATCTGCTGAAGCTTTTTTTCTGGCAAGTGGGCGTTATATTTTTTTTAAATATAAAATATCGCCGGCTTTCGTTCCGATCACTTATGCAAAACATTTCACAAGACTAAATTTGCCTGCAAAAACATAAGAACTTGAGTTTATTCAATTTATTTAGTGTATGAATGTTACTCGTAGTTTTTCAACCAAAGACGCTGAAGGTGCCACACCAGAAACGATATAAAAGAAAGTCGAACAAGCTTAAATGCAACAAATACCTACTATGATTTACCAACTGCGAATCTTAGATTCTAATATATGGTTGCCCCTCAATCAGTTAGGATGCAATAATATTGCCCAATCGGCATCAATAAAATCTATCTTTTCGAGGGTAGCAATGATCTTATAATATGCGCTTATGAAATGATGTTTATAGGCAAACGTTATATACAATTTATAGCATGTTCAGAGACTTACTGTCCGTAGGCTAGGAATAGTTTTGCTCAGCCCTATGATGCGGAAAGATAACAAAAATAATGTATTATGTCATCTGTGGGTGCCCTAACCTCTTGTGCAATGTGCAGGTTCACATTATCGGTCACATCCCACCTGGAATTGGCGACTGCCTTCAGGTCTGGAGCGAAAACTACCACAGGATAATTTCTAGGTAAGCGTGGTCTTTGATTTCTTCGTGTTAGACTGAATTGCCAAAAAACCACTGAGCGGCGCTTCGACATCGCCTACCGAAAACTACAGTGAACTGTTCTAGGACGCTTGATCAAATTTACACTTCCCGTTTCTCTAAAGTTCTGCCAACCATTTCTGTGGAACGTGCGGCACACGCACCAAGAGCGAGTTCCCCGATGTCTTTTGCTTCTAAGGGCCGCTGATTTCAGTGCTGCTACAGTGTATTAGAATACGTGGTAGTGTTGAGACTGGCGCGGCTCGGGAATGGGAGCTCACGAGGCCGCGTGTGGAGACCGTACGCGCGGCTCTGCAGACGTTGGCGCAGTAATGAATGGCTGAATCTCGTTGAGCTTGACTGAGAATGCGTCAAGCGTTCGCGGCCGTTGGCAAGGCTGTTCTTTTTGTTGCGTTAATTTTGCGCGTCGGTTGCATCTGCGAGTTTTCCATGCTATTTCACGGCGGGGCTAGACAGCGGCATCCCTTACGGTCTTAGGTTGAGATTTAGAAGCAATATAGATTTTCTACCGCTTGGGGTAGCGACAGCGCCATTCCTCCAAGTACTGCCAACCCTGAAAAACTGTTCCGACCACCGTGATTGCAAATGTGTGCCAATGTCCTCCTATGAGAAAACGGTAGTGTGCTGATTGAAATACTCCATGCTTACGATAAGCAGAGGCTTGTTTATGGAAATTCGTTTTTTGAGGAGACGAATAAGAGTTCTGCATAAGTTTCTGCTGGCGGACGGCCTCCTGTAGCTCTAGCTAGTATTGAAATTTCTCCCATTCAGTCTCGGAGCCCGATGAGTGGAGGCCTACACGGTGAAATTAAGGTGTCTTTCGAGAACGCGTTCAAGCGCTGTAGGTTATAGCGACCCCACCGAGCTGCGGTGGGAGAGAGAAACTACCGCCTAGTATGAAGGCAGCAAAAAAATAGCACCTTTTCTTTCCAGCGCGGACGTTGCTGTTTTCATTCCCTGTTTGATCGGCATGCATTTCGAATTTGATGTGCTTTTTTGGTTGTGCTGGAAGGTGAACCCGTAGAAGTAAAGTCAAAGTGTTGTCGGCAAGACAGCAACAAAGCAGCGCCAACTGGCCTCGCACCCGAACGCCTGGTGCGAACGTGAATGGCAGCGTCTTTTTTCGGAGTTCTAAAAAATAAATATGGCCTTTGAGTTCTAGGCGTCAGTACATCGCGACTACAGAAATTGGATACAGCGGCTGTGTTTGAAGCGCGTGGAGCGAAAATTCGCATTGCAGGACTCTGGGATCCTGAGTTCAATCCCCGCCCCTGCCTGTGGATCTGTATGAGCATGTTTCTTGCAACTGGTCATGCATCACTACTGCGCGGTGTAAGTTAAAGACCCGAGGCTAGCGGCTGAAGTGAACTGTATAAATTTGTCATCTGCAGCTGAGACACCAGGCGCTTTTGAGGCTGACTAACGTCCTGCTCTCGAAACATACACACCACACAGATATTATTATTATAACTCCGGACTGTGGTTCAATCAAGCTCTTCTAACAAGTTCGCGAGTTTGGCGCCAAAACGTTTTTATGGCGACAATTTATTCGCGGAGCTTCTGAGTTGCCGCTTTGTTGTCGTCAGTTATGTCCTCACTCAAAAGTGAAACAAATCAAGAAACAATTTTGTGACAGTCAAAGAACAAAATTTTTATGCCATTGATGTGTCAAAGGGACGCTGCCCGACGAAACACATCTTCGTGACCGGTATTAGTTTGTCGAAAGCGAAACTGGTTTTCAAGCCACTAGAGGGCACTGAAGTTTAAAATGTGGCATACTTTATATTCCTAGAATCTATACGTACAACACCACGGCTGGGCATTGGTTTCATGGGCACCTATCTCGGAGTTTCCACAGGAGAATGCCACTGAGCTTCTTCGAGTTTCATCTGACATCTTGTACCGTTTACGTACAGCAGCTTATGTGTCGATGCGTCGCGGGGAGCACCTGGCGCTGGAAGAGTCCATCTTTCGTCATGGTATGACTGGGAATAAGGCATGTCCTAAAAAGAATGTAAAGGGCAGGTACTATATTTTATACAATAACTTATTTCCTACCATATGCGGTGTATGGTACGAAATGAGATAATGATTTAGGAAAGGATAAAATAAGAGCATTAAATATGTTGTATTTGGAAAGGCTACGCTGGTTAAACATTTGAGTAAAACATTATTAAATAGTCTTTTGTTTCCTTTAAAAAAATACACAAACAGGAGCGAGTCTTTATGCTAGAAATATATACAAATTACGGGAGATAGGTTCGCGCGTACCTTGTGCCATATTATTAATATATATTGACAAACGGGTGTTTAAAATTCAATACTTGAGGGTAAAACTAGATTTAAAAACATGGAGCTAGGACATAGATCGCTTAAGTATTATGTTCAATTTTTAATATTTTTCTTGCTCCTAGTTTTCGAGCTGACAACTTCTCATTGCTTTTGCTGAATACCGTGTTCCGCCCCCAAGCACGACTGTTTTTTTGTTGTTGTTTTTTTTGCTGGCCCGAAAAAACTTTTGTGCATGCAAATCTTGAATAAACTTTGTTGCTATTCGGACCGCAGGTTCGAGGACACCGTCCGCGGCCAGTTCTTTGGGCACACACACATGGACGAACTCGAGCTATTCTACGACCCGACAGACCCCAAGCGGGCCATGGGCGTGGCCTACCTGGCACCCAGCGTCACCACTTTCAATTCGGGGCATCCAGCCTTCCGTGTGTACACTATCGATGGAAACTATCCCAACAGCACCTGGGTGAGTACTAGTTGTCGAACAAACCTCTTGCATGGTCGTGCAGCATCGTACATTCCACGTGCTAGACGTTGCGGGAGCAATGACGAGCGTACATAATGCTACCATAATTCAATGGGCGGTTTGTGCGCGAGGTCTTTTGCGATACTTGCAACTGTTCTATTTACGTTGCGAGTACGGCTTTTGCGTAGTATTTGTGTTTTGGTGTTTATATTTATGTAGATAAACAGCTAATAGCTGTTTATCTACCTCGATCAACTCACGGTTTATATGAACCCATTCTACATTGAAGCGACTGTAGTATTGCGTGTAGAATCAGACTGCGGTTCACAAAAGCAAGCAGCATCGGTGGTTTCAGTCGCTGTTTTTGTTTTTCCGTGCAACTGGGAGAGGGTGAGACCTAAAGTGCCTATATTAGCAGACTTTATTGTAGAACAGCTTATGTTAAAAACAGAATAACCTGCCTATCTCACAGCCATAGAGTGCATAGAATGTCCCATGAGACAATTTCAGAAATTAATAGATCAACTGGCGTATTTTGAACTCGGAGTGTATGCATGGTTCCTCGTGGCTGCGATACGCAATTACTGCTTAATAATACGTTTTATAATGCAAACGTGTCTCTAAAGTTAGATAGTATTCGCGTACATTTAACGCTAAACTCTAAGCTATCCGTATTGCGCGAACATATAGAAAACAATAAACAGCCAGTTCACCGAGGGAGTGAGCGTTGAGCGGGAAGGCAGCACTTATCCGAGACTTTCCCGCAGATGGTGCTAGACCACGAAACGTACATCATGAACCTGACGGAGGCCAACGCCAGCCCCGAAGCCCAGCCCGTCTGGAAAGCGGAATACTCGGCCAAGAGCGCCTACGGCATGGCCTCGTTGCAGCCGCAGGAGTGGGACAGGACTCTCAGGAAGATGCAGGACGACGACGTCCTCTTCGACCGCTTCTACCGGTCAGTGATTCGAGAGAACTTGCCAAGTCGGCACGAGTCGAACTTAGCACACGCAAACATGCAGAGCCAGTGCGGATTTCGGAACTTCATTCAGCCTCGCTCTGCGACTCAAAGAGAGCGCAGATTCTGAGGTCTCTGTGTAACTTTCCTAGGGTCGAAAATTCGGACAGTCGGTAAACGTTGCACATGGTGGGAATAAACAGCTCAGTAAACGCGGACGAAGACAACATATAAATACGGGTGGAAAAAGCGGTACTATACTTCGTTTCAGCTTAAGTGCAGACGCAGCCGACGCTACCAGCCAATTGGTCCAATCAACCGGCGTCGAAAGCGCAAATCACTGGAACTGCTTTATTTAATATTGGTTCAGCAATGACACAAAACGTACAAAAGATGATGAAAAAATACATAGCCTCCTATATACTAACAGAGCCTGGCAGATCGCCATGAGAAGTGGACGCCGAAATGGAAAAGGTGGAGTGGCAGACAACGGATAAAAAGAGAGCCACGTGACTGGCGCCCCGCTGTGGCGAGACGCCGAAACACACTTCTCTCGAGTGAACAAGTGTGTTTCGGGTCCTCGCCGCTACAAAAGCTGTGCGCTGACGTCCAGGTCTCCCGAGAAATGGCTCTTTGACGCTTTGTGCTACCAGATCCTCGCTCTCAAAATCTGCGACCGGGCACTCTATGGCTCCGTCGTCGAACTGCCAGGCTTGGTGAGTATAGAGGAGGCTATAACAAAGGACATGAAAACCCGATGGTGCAATTTTGACGATGTCTGATTGGTGCCGTCAGCTCGTGGGTTCGGCTGCGTCTAGGCGAAACGAAGTATAGCAACTGAAGTCCATTCGAAAAAAAGTGCCCGAAAAATGCGAGCAAAGTATGGTAATCTATCTGTCAACGCACATATGAACAAATTTGCCATCCAAGCACCACGCCATTGTGGGTAAAAGCACACTAGGCAACGTTATTTATTCTTGACTGCAGGAACCGAACCTCATTTTCGGAAAGAAACACGGAAGGTTTTCTGACGCAAATAAGCCGACAGGAATCTCCACCGAGCCGTGTTTAGTCCGCCGCCGAAGATTCTTAACGTACCTGAGCGTATCATGTTTAAATATTACACTTGGTCACAGACTTGAGCTCAATCTACTAACACAGCACGAACAGTTTTCAGCCAGGCGTGCGAAGCAATTCCGGCAAAAGCATGTTAGCATGCCTCATCGCAGCTGTGCTGTGAGGGGGCAAGGCTAACCTCAGCAGATGTTGGTCGAGGTGTTTTTACACAATGCGAAAACCTTCATTTCAATTTCTCTTATTTTTATGTCGACCACCGTAAGTAGACTTAATCAAATTTTTTAAACGAGAGCCATGAATAAAACTCATCACAAACAACCTACACACAAAAAAAAACTGGAGCAGTGGACACGCAAAGACTTGTTTGCAGAACTCGTCATATCGTTTTAATTTGTTTTTTTCTCTATTTGCCAATGCTCCTTGTTATGTACTGACAGACAGACTGGCGCTCATCAGCTCGTGGTCACTCGAGGAACGTGGGCAGTGAGCACTCGAGGTTCGGGGTGCGCGGGCAGACGAACGCCGGGCTCTGAAGTGATTGAACCGGTTTAACTGTTGGTTTCTTGTGCACCGACAAGATGTAACACTGCTAATTCCATCAGATGCATCGTCGCAAAGTGGAAATATAGACAAAAGAAAAATATGTAAAAATACAAAATAGTTCCAAATTAAAATACAAACAAAAGTAGAAACTAATGCACTAGCAGAATCTTTGTTAAAAATATCGTAATATAGCCCATCCCAGTCTATCACAGACCGAGACAAAAAAAAAAAAAAAACAAAAAAAAAAAACATGCGTGGCTGGTAAGTTTACTTAAGTGGGTGCCTTTGTCGGGTGTCGTAGCAAGTTAAAGCGTTATGTATTCGCCCACGTTAATTTTATTTTGAACTGAACCATACCCAAGCCGTTGGATAGGCTCAGATATAAATACATGTATATATCAATTAAAACCAAACCTGACACTTTTGACACTTTTAACAACAAAAAAATACTGACGAGATGAGATATAAAAAATACTATATATTCTCACTGACAAAAAGAAAAATATGAAGCCCGACTTGAGTGTCTTAACTAAAATCCCTCTCCCCCTTAAAGGAAAGAAAGAAACATGCATTGCCGCTGGCCTTTACACAACTCTCTCCCCTTCCCCCTCTCAACTGCCACTTTAAGTCGTCCTTTCACCGCTCAAACGCTTCCGACCCATTTGCCCTTGGCATTTGAATGCTTTAAAAGCTTGCAATAAAGCGAACTTGCGAAACGGCCCTTTTGGCGATTCGTCAGCATCTATCTGTGTTTGAGCATTTCTACTAAAAATACAAAAAAGGAGGAACTTTAATTATGCGCAGAGAACCAAAAGTTAACATAATTGGCAACAATATAAAAAAGTAAGAAAGAAGTACGAAATTGTCTTTTTAATAGCGAGAACTCAAGGTGTGGCTAAATTTAGTCTTTGATGACATTTAAAACTTAATATAAATTATTTCGAGACATTGAATTATACTAGAGTGGTATCAGTCGAGAGCACATATGCAGACCTACAGGCATATATTATATAATAATATAATAATATTATATAATTATATATAAAGATTCCTAATATACGAGGCTCCAAATATGTCACGAAGAGGTGAGAGATGCGAAGTTTGGCATGCAATATGCCGAAGCTGTTTAGTTTAAAGGAAAAAAATGGCCATGCGTCATCAGTTTAAAAAAAATGCTTTGAGGGTTTTTATTTTTAACTATTAATAAAAACCGTCAGAACTGAGTACGAAAATCAAGCAACGTAAAGGTAGAATATTGCCTTGCTGCTCTTCACAGTTTTTGTGGGAAAAGAAATCATAAGGTATGGTTTTGTTGATCGCGAAATTGGGGCCATACCATATATTTGTTTTAGGGAAATAGAAATACTCACCCCGACACCCGTGTCTGATTTAAAATTAAACTACCCGGTGTAGTTTAGCGACCACGCAAACTGAACACTTGTTCTTGATGCTGTAACCTCATTGTAGCAGTCTGCCTTACTCATATTTGGGTTTCTGGCCTGACTAACCTTTTTCACGTCAAGAAGTACAATGTTATATACGAATGTATTCTGGAGAAAGAGGGTTTTGGATTGCATACATCTATATCTTCTAAAACTGTTACTATGCGCATGCTTCTGCGGGATTACTTTTTTATCATTACTTTCATTCTTTAAACAATCAAGAAATTGAAATGGTGCTTCAACCGGTTTCTGAAGGAAGCGGGACCTGCAGTGACCCTTTTAAGAGACCCTTACATTCAACACTTGAGCCCCCCAGGCCGCATTAATCCTGTTATTCCTCGATATGGCAAGCATTTTGCAATATTCACCACTGCTGATTGGCCACGACACCTATATATTTGTTTTCCACTTCAGCACGTCTGTTTACCGCATTTATATGAAGATGGGTCGAACTTTTCATGAACATTCTTGTATGTCAATTTTCCCGCAGACCCAAGGACACCAATCAATAAGACTTACGAAAGAAGCCACTGAACGGTAATATAGGGAAACGTTTAGAAATGAAAAAATCGATAGACACAAAGAAAAACCTATTTCTGGGCTCCGACATTATCGGTGCCTCGTCATTTGCTGGGTGTCATTTGTAAATCGCAATGTTGGCTGTTCTTAAGCGTTGCAAAGAAATACACAAACAAGCATTGTGCTGATAAAGAGGTAAAACTATTTTCAAATAACTGCAATATTAGCTCATGCTTTTCTTTATACGCACAGCTGCTACTCGAGATACAGTGTGCCTTTCGCCTCAAATAGACACCTTTCCTGGCAAAAAAAAAAAAGTCACGCCATTATGTTACATGATATCATGACGACCCTAGACACCGTAAAGCAACGTGGCCCCGTGGTGTCACGTGCGATTGTTACGTAGCCGCCTCGGTGGCTTCGAGGCAAAGAGACCGCCTACGGATCCCCTGGTGGCGCGTTCGAATCCCAACCGAAGTGCCCGCAATCTGACGGAGGGTTCTTCCGGAGAAGGCGCCTTGTAACCGAGCCTTCTGATGTTAAAATATCCCCAGATTGCCGGAATAATTCTCCAATTTTCTGCTGGGGCGTGCCAGATGCCCTTCGTTGGTTGGAGACGTAAGATTCCTAAATATTTTGAAATCATGACGTACAATGTTACGCCACATGACACAACGCGACTCTGTGACGTCACAATATCATGCGACACCGAGATGGCGCCTGACATCATGACGCTGTGTGATGTCGCAGTCGTGCAATTTTACAACGCCGTGACGTAACACACCCTCACAGCTTGTGCCAGGCTCAGACGCAACACACTTTGTACTCCCCGATCCTCGTCCGCATAACAAGGCTAGCGTAATCATTTTATGTATCGCGATGTCACACAATGACATGGTGCCACGTGTCATCGTGACGTCACGTGACACCGCGACGTCACAAAGTCAGTGGTTTCACACGAAGTCACGGTGACACATGGCGTGAGCGTGCCAGGCGACGAAATGTATCATTATGGTGTCACATGACGTCCCGACACCACGGTTCGTTCCGACATCTCTTCACGACCGTCGTTTTCTTAGAGAATTCGGCAGACAAAACACATCTTGCGTTAGCAAGAAACTTTAACATTGTGATGGTGCGACAACTCTTGTGAGTCCTCTGAAAGACTAGAGGATCATTGAAGTGTCTTCTTTCCTGATTTCCGTATAGCTAATGCTGGTCGGTGGACGCCTCACTCGTGCTTCCTCGCCTCGAGAGAGGACACTCCTACTATATCGATGTACATGACACGTACTCAGTTAAAAAGGGCTCAGCTTGACCATGCAACAGGCTCTGTTTGTTTCCTTGGTAGCGTTGAACACACACTTTCACGCACCTGCAACACGTGCATGTGGGAGAGCGTGTAGGCAATGGGCTTCACTGGGTTTCACCTGTCAGCAGGCGGCAACCTGGCTGAAGGTACCTGTGGGCGTCGTACACGAGCCATTGCTTTTCTTCAAACGTCACGCAAGTTATAAGATAAAGGTGGATTGTATTTCACCTTCGTTTCGAGTGCCTCACGGGGCTTTTAAAAGATTGAAGGAAAAAAATATAATGCGTGCTAATATTGATCGTTTAGCTTATGCGATTCACTTCAATACCACGTTTACTAATAATTTTGTTTTGTTTATAATATTATATTATCTTTTCTTTTTTTACTTAGTAAACTTGCACTTTTGCTTGACTACCTCACTTTTATTTGCCCTCGGTGGAAACACCGGTTAATTATATTAATTTTCAATAAAATTGCTTCCTCTGAGGTGCAATCGAAACACTGAACCCTTAATGAAAAGCAATACACTCAAAGTATGCCTTTTGCAACGACAGAAAGTTATATTCGTGTACCTCAAAGTATGCTCCTCGGCACCAGCCATTTTTCAGAGAATCATGGACACCATGCTGAAAAACCGAAAAGCCTTAGTTGCTACTTAGATGACGTCCATATTACCGGTAGGCCGCCGGAAGAGCATTTAGCCAACCTGGAAGACGTCCTGAAGCGGTTGTCTGAGCGCGAAATTCATGTGAAGAACGAAAAAAAAAAGTAAGTTTTTTCAGGGGTTGCCTCACCTGAACCACGTTATTTCTACATCTATGGCCGATACTTCGCACTCATCACGGATTATAGACAACTGTAGACGAAGACGACAGAAAGAATAACACACTTGAGACAAAAAGATGACGGACACTTTGCAAAAAGCGTCCGTCGTCCGGACACTTCTTTCTTCGTTAAAAAGTGTCCGTCGTGCGGACACTTCTTCGTTAACACACTTAATAACTTAAGTGTTTTATTCTTTTTGCCATCTTTGTCCAATGACCAATACGCTCCCTAGTTTACATTCTCACTGCAGGTGATACTGGGCCAAAATACTGACATTCCGCCTATCTCGCTGCGGAACGTTTGCAGAGCTGAGCTGTTACCGTGTCTGCGTACAAATGCTCCTTCGTTTAAAAGAGATCCAGTGACTATTTTTTCTCAAGGTTTACTCTCCAAAATGAGAAAGACAACACTTTCGAAGGGGAAGAGGCATTCTATGCATTGCGCCTAGAGATGATGCCGGTGTCTTCCAAGGACATAACGCGGGCCACGGTTCGCGACCCGTTGCTTTGTCAACTACTGAAATAACCAGTGCGGGTTGGCCGATGCACGTGCAAACACAACAATTTAGACCGTTCTTTGACAGGCACATACAGATAATTGTACATCGAGGGTGCCTAACGTACGGCATGAGGGCCATCGTTCCGCCTAAGCTGCAAGAGCCCGTGCTCGACGACTTCCATCAAGGCCATCCCGGCGTTGTACGAAGTAAGGAGCTGACTCGCCGCTCTGTTTGATGGCCATTGGTTGGTGCAGAACTTGAAACAAATGTGCGAAACTATGAAGCATGCCAAGAACAGCGAAACGTCCCATGCAAAGCCTGTCTACACACTTGGACATGGCCAACAATACCGTGGAGACGCTACACTTGGAGCTTGTGGGCCTTTTCCGCGGAGCCATGTTCTTAGTCGTGATGGATACACACTCGAAGTGGCCAGAGGTGTTCATCACAGAAAGAACAACGACAGAGCACGCTGCAAATTGCCTAAGTGAACGTTTCTGCAGGTTCAGAATTGCAGAAACCGTCGTTTGAGACAACAAACCACAATTAGTGTCCGAGTAATTCAAGGTGCTCACGAAGAACGGCGGGGTCCAACTCGTCGCGAGCACCCTGTACCACCGGAGCACCAGCGGCCTGGCAGAACGGTTTGTGCAGACACGAAAGTGCATTACGCAAGCCATCTGTTGATGAGTCTCTAGACAAAGCATTGCAACGCTTTTTGTTGTCCTACCGCAATACTCAAGATTCCAGAAGAGGAGAAACCCCAGCACTCCCTCTTATGGGGAAAAGATTGCGCACCCAATTGGACATAGTGAAGCCTTCAGTGGAGAGAAAAGTGATACAGAAGAAGTTCACGCAAAGCACGCGGAAGATCTATACCCTAGCGGCAATTTCATTGTGCGAAAAACAGGAGTTCGTCGAAGTGACTACGTGGTACCGTCCTCAAGAAGACGGGTCCAGTCTCTCACCAAGCCCAGGTTTCTACACCTGGGCGTGTTCCTCAGGGCAAGTTCATCTGGCGTGGACACCTCGACCCTCTCCAAAGCTAAGCACGGCCGAGGGTAGAATCGGTATCTTCGGACACGGACGATGCTGAGAGATTCCTTATCTATCCGCCAAGCAAACAAGACGTCCAGAATGTGGTACAAGAACCAAGATTACTCCACCCTTCCTCCGTTCGGCAGCAGGTGTCCGTGTCTCCTCCAGGCCCATCCGTCTCTGAAAAACGTTATCCGTCGCGATTACAACATCCGCCTCATAGATGTCAAGCTTGCTCCTAATTTTTGAAAAGTCTACTTTTAGTGAGGCCATGTAATTAAAAGGGAAGGTGTGTTGTATAGGGACTGCCATGCACTCGCTACTGCTGCTAAAATGGCGGCACTCGTGTTATTCTTTGTTCTTATATCTTTGTTCTGTGATAGCTCCCTAGCGCGTGCAAGTCGGTCTGATTCCACGCACAATGGATAAACGTCGGTCTATGGTCCTCAGGTCTTCCTGTCTGCTGCACCATCAATACACGACATACTCCGTACACTAATAGTACACGAGAAGTATACTACAAGTACATTTGTCTACGGACCAAAAGCACACATTTAATAGATGTAAACATACTAAACGCACAATTTTATTATTCCTTTGTTCAGTTATTTATTACAGCCCTACAGACACCTCTTTGGAGAGCACCAGAAATTTGAATGTATACTAAAAATATACTTTATGCGTACTTAACTACGCTGAAATTGTACTTTAATTTCTTACATCTGAAAAAAAAAAAAAAAACTGCCGGCGGTTAGCGGGCATGTGGAAAACTACACTTTTCATCCCTTTCATGTCTCGCAGTCCGCCAGATTGCTTCGCGCTGCAGATAACAAGACGCCGCAGAGCGCGGGATATGAAAGACAGGCAGAACGCGTTCACCTCACTTCTGAGTTAGGTCGCTTCTTCTCTGTCCATCCGATATCAAATGTTCAGAAATCAGCAGCCGGTGTGTGTCTCCTTCAGAGCTCAGCACGTGTGTATTTGTTATTTTGGAAAGTGAGAACAGCGTACGGCATACACAAGAACACTTATAGTAGCAACTCCGAAAAGACCTTGAGTTTCTGCGGCAGCCATAGAGGAGTAAGTAAAGGAGCATAGCTCTGAGGTACACGAATATAACTTTCTGTCGTTACGCGGTCAAAGCTGCGGGCACCCAGGTACCCACCGTCCACCGTTTAATTTGTTTTAGTGCGGCGCTGAAAAGGCTGCTGACGGGAATGTCTTTTCATTTATTGTTTCATATGCACGCGCTCGAGGCAGTAGCCTTTACAGCGTTCCACGCCAGGTGTGAAGCGGAGCATAGTTCACCTATACTCTGAAGGGGGATCAGATGAAGCTATGCCTGAGCTAGTTTCACTTCATAAATGCCGCAGCGCCAGTAACTGGCACAGCATACGGTTCGCTATTATGATTGTTTGTCTCTCGCGCAGCAATAAACTTCCCAACAAGTAAATAAAAGCGATGCGAAGTTATATTAAGATGTTTACTTTAAAGCAAGGAGCTCAGCGGCGACGATGCCGAAAAACCTAGAAAAACTCTCTTATGTCATGAGTCTGGCGACAACAGTCTAGAATATTCCCGTAAAACTTCAAAGATTCAATTTCAGATACCTTCATCGCGTCAAAAGCTTTAAAGCCAAATCTATTTTATATACACTGCGAGGAGCCAGAGAAATAACGTCACAATAGAGTACATCCAAACACAACAAAAAGTTTATGACAACGTGATACAGGTACGAAACAATTGTTGCGTGAAGTCAAAAATGACTCTGATAAAAACTACATTATATTTACTCGTAGCGAGCGGTATTACTGACGGTTAAAAGGAAGCAGACGTGATTATTTTGTCGTGAACTCTAAAATTTAGGTCTTAGCGAAAGCGGGTGAAACGACCCGAAGCGCGCTCGCCTTCTCGCCGAAAAGCTCTTGCAAGTGTGTATGCTCATGATTAAAATGATCGAACTCCACAGTCATAATCCAAAATCCAGAGCACGACACAAAGATGGCACAAGAAAAATTAGGTAAACAAATGTCAATGCTACGTTTAGGTGCGAAGAAACGGGCGACATGTCTCTCTCGAACACCATGGGGACGCCATTGTTCCACGTCGTCAGGGCCGAGTCGCGTGAAAACAGGTATCACGTGACCATACGTGCTGGACATGCATTGACCTTCAATTCTTAACTCGAGTCTTAACTCTTTCTCTCCCTCGTGTTGCAGGTACTACAGTAAGCAGAACCCCCTGGAGGAACCCTGCAACACGGCGTGTCGCACGAAGGTCCTGTGCGAACAAAGGACGGCGCGGTCATCCGATTTGCGATTCTGCTAGCCTGTGCCGACAGACCCCTAGCATCAATAGGAATACTCAGCAGCGAAACGGCTTTTCGCGGGGCAGTGTTTCGCTACAGCAGCTGAAAAACGTGGTTTACAATGCGCTACAAGGAGCGAGTGAGCTACATGTGTTATTGTGTTTGTCTATCGGGCACACGTGTGCAACGGCTCGAATTTGTTAGTAGAACTTTCTTTGTACAAAAATAAATAAACGTGCTTAGTACCAACGCTCACTTCAAAATTGTCTCTTATTGCTGCAATGCATAATTCGCTGCCGGTTTTAAACGGCTTATGTCGTGTCGCATGTAAGATGTGAGTTATTTTGTTAGCAATTGTCACAAATGAAAAGGGTGGACAAATGTAGAACAGAAAATAAACTTTTCATAAGGCAAACTTGCACCAACAAGCAGAAGTAGGCTACGATGGGTCTTACGTCGGCGACGAATGGGCGACTCCAGCGAAGCGGCGAGAAACCGCTGCTGTTACGCACGCCGGATGTTTCGGGATTTTTTGGAAACAGAAGACACAATGGGAGGCGGGAATGGGCTGAAACGTCCCCAAGAAACATCGATTTATAAAAAAAAAAAGCCACGCCGAGCGGGGTTTGAAGCCCGGACGTCCGCGTGGCAACCCCGTGCGTTGCCAAGACCGCCACACAAGCGGCACTATGAAGCAACCAAGGGAGCTCAAACAGCAAGCTGTGTTTTAGGAATGCAAGGACTTAAAAAATCAGTTTTTTTTACAATGAAACCAGAAAAAAAACGAAATTTAGTTTATTGTGTGAATTTTCTGCAACGAAAGTTTGCAGGGATATTTGTGGCTGCGTCGAAACTAAATATAGTCATGACACGCATAATGTCAATGAGTTTCGTCGAGATAGCAAGTCGAGGTTTAGTCACAATGTACTAAGCACCGAGCCCATGAGAGAAATGTAACCATGGTTTTCTGGTTCAAATAAACAGACTATGCATAAAAAATGAAAGAAAGATCTGAGAATCTGAGAGAATGGGACGCTAGCAATGTTGATAGAATACGAAAGTTTGAAAACCTGGATTGAAAGATAAAAGAGATACATCAATCGCTCGCATGAGCCGACGTCCACCTAGTCCTGGTATTCGCCAAACCAAGAGTTGTCATTAAGTGAGTCTGTAGTATTCATATAAGTAAAAAGCACTCGTCACCAAGAAAGAAAATATTATTTTCCTTAGAAAATATTTATCGCTGAAATAAACGGGTGCCCATAATACTATTGGACAAATATTCGACTAGTGAAAGTCGTCTTATAAAGTTCGTTTATCTGTATTAACTTTTGATTAAGAAACTAAAAACAGTGCGGACGCGGACGTAGGACGAGAAGTGCACAGACAGGGCGCTTTGTTCGTATTAGCGCGGGTTTCATGTCTGAAACGTGCCCTGATGTGGTTTTTGAGATCACCTAATAATGACGATAACTCACTGTGGGGGCTTTAAGGATCCTAGAAATCCATGATCCGATTTTCCTGTTAAATTTGCAATCAAAGATCTAACGCTCCGAGGTCATCTCCGCCGATGGCACGACCCTTGGTCCTGCAGACAGGTCGACATGTAACCAATGAAAACGCGACATTTTGTTAAGATTGCAAACGCTGCTATCACAAACTGTGTATGGTTTTGTAGATGATAAAAACAAATAAGAATATTCGATTTCTTTTTTTTTTTTTTTTTTGCGGTGAGGAAACATAATATTGTATTTATTGTCTCAAAAGCAACGAAATGCGTTATTTTAATATTATTTTTATTTTTTGGCCTTTCGCGGGATTGATGTGTTCGGTCGTCAGCTTTCGAGCACGCTCTCGCTGGGTTGAATCACAGTCCTGGCTGGATCGGCAACGAGCCGCGCGCATTCAAGATGTCAATCTGCAGCTCCACCGGCTGGAGACGCGAGGATCCTACGCTTGCCATTGACTGACGGTGGCCCTGGTTTCGGAGCATGCTCCTTTCACCGGCGGAGATGACCTCCGTGCGTTGAGATATTTGCTTTTGTAATAGCGTGGAGAGGACCGCGTATCAATAGGATTTATGAATATCTATGATAGTTAAACCCCCCAAAGTATGTTATTGTCATATTTAGGCGGTCTCAGAAACCTCGCCAGGGCACCTTTCATGCATAACCAATTCGCGCAGAACTCGATAGCCACCTGCAATCCTTTATATATAAATCCACTTAACTTGATGATCTCAAATGTCTCGCATTCTATCACAACCACCAGCATGACATTCTCCCGGAGGCCAATAAATTGTACTTCGCCCAATTTACTGGCCTGCACACGTGGAAACAGTTTCGCCGTTCAGTATGGATGACTTGGCAGTGTGGCTCAAAATGTGCGAAAATTTATATAAAAATAGGCTTTCCAAAACTAGACAGGATAGCGATCAATTAAAGTGCTGTTTGAGGATTGTAGTGTAGTTTGAGGATTCGCCATTTCGTGGCCCTTTAGCGGTCGGGCCGAACCGCGAAGACAAATCAAGCAGGCCAATAACCAGGGTAAGCACGGTTGAATCGGGCACACGTGGAAATATATATAGCTACCACGGGCCGATGATATCAAAGTTAACAAAACAAAGAACAGCTGATAGCACTATCGCACGCTTGGTTACACTGCCGAAGCGATAACACTTAACGTCATATAATTGAAGGCAGTATATGTGTTTCCGAGTTCGGGTGGATCGCCGTAGCTCTGAACGCCATACCGCTCTTTCCTGGCTCCCTTGAGGTCGTTGCTGCGCTGTCCAACTCGGTCGCAGGGTTACTGGCAGAGGCTGCCGCTACCGATGCTCGGTCCGACTAATTCGCAGGGCTCCTGGGAGAGGGTGTGGATACCGCTGGACCGCTGGCGGCGGGTAACTCCTCGGGTGCCTCGCTGATTTCAGTAGCGACACCCCGTAGCAGTAGTCAATCGAAAGGACGGCGGACGTCGCCTCCGGGAGTAGTGACCACGGTCATACGAGCTCCCTGGTTTCACTTCACCTTGCCAGAAGTTCCTGTACCACACGGCAGCATGAGGGCGAATTCTTAGAACTTGCAAGTCAGGCGAGTACACTCGTCTTGACGGTACAGCAGTGTCAACGCGTGAGCGTACTTGCAAACAAAGTAAGAGTTCACCCGGTGATGTCCCGCCCGACAGGGGAGTGCTACGGAAACAAAGTAATCCTTTAGCCAACTTCGTTCCCAAGTTCCATGTTAAATGTTCTGTGCTTTTACTGTTTTCACCGTCCGCTTTGCCAATCCATTTGATTGTGAGGGATCCCTATTGAAAAAGGCCAATATGAACTCGGCTTATTGAAAATATTGTATTCCAATGAAGATAATGGAAACCAATAAAAACTTATTGTTATCCGATTAACCCAAACGCGCGATGGTAATTCATATTGCAGCACAATATCCCCATATAGTATGCGGTTATTGGTATACAACAGGATATTGGAGCACAATATCCCAAAATATAACTTGCGGTTATAGGTATACAACACGATATCGGACCACAATACCCTGATATAATGCACGGTTATTGGAATAGAATACGATATCGCGTGCATATTGGTGACCGACATGGACATACTGTACGGCCACACGATATACAAATATCGGTCGTCGATCATGGGACCAAAGGAGAATACAATATGATATGGCGTGCATATATCTCAGAACGCGGATACCAAGTTACCAACATAAATTACGCTGGCATATCCACACGGCAATACGCGAGAAATAAATTGAGTGTGGATACACACATAACATAAACGTTGTGCGTTGCGAACACATTAACATTGATCGACAGTGCCAGTATGTACAGCTGTTAGTACAGCACACAGTCCACACAGCCTCGCGCGCTTGAAACTAGACAACCACCAAACCATTCAGAATAACTATAGCCGGAACACCCGCCGCGACCTACCTTTTAATGAGAAAGCCCAATAACGACGTGCTCATTGGAGTGATCGTTTTCCAACAAATGTTTATTGCAGTTGTAATGCAACAAAAGTTGATCGCGAAACGATAAACCCAACGTACCGGGATACAATTCGATGTTGCAAGAGAACATCACAATACAACAAGAAACTATCGGTGTTGAGACACAACCACCACATCGAATACGATATCAATACGAAGTTACCGACGGTGAGAAATACAACATCAAACACGATATACTATTCGAAGTTACCGGTGTTGGGACCGAAATCAAATGCGATACGTGATAATGTCGGTTCGCACGATAGAATAATGAGGGTGAATAGGTTTGACAGGTCACGTGCATGTAATTGCTTCTTACGCGCACATTTATCGATATGAGTAAAGCTAAACGCACTCCGGAGTGCATTTCGGACGAAATGGCTATACGCACTCCGCGCAGAGTTCATGCCGCTCGGGCCACCCTTTTCGAACGGCGCGGGTATCACTGGGGAGCTCGTTAACACAGCCCCCCGCCTGCGTTCAAGCCGCTTCGCGGCGACAGTATCTGCTGCTAATTACAAAACTTAACCAGTACACGCCGCTTCGCGGCGTCCAGCCGGCAACCCAAGCCCCGCTGTGTCCGATCACACCTCCGGGAAGGGAGACCCATACCATTTAGTTCTGCGAAGTTTCGTCGACAACATCATCGCAAAAAAGAAATGTCGTCAATATCGCCAATGCCTCGACAAAACAAAATTTTTGAGAAAAAGAAAAAAAAAACAAAAAGAAATACGCCCACCGCGGATCGAACCCGCGTCCACTTGCGTACAAAGCGGACACCTTAACCCCTATGCTATGCCACCTCTTTTTTTTTAACAATGTAGTTACAATAATTTACAGGGTATGAGCCGTATGAGCATCAGAGTTCGGCAAATCAGTTAGCGGTTGGAACGGAAAGGGGAGAAGGGGAGGGGGTGCTGGTTTCAATGTGTGGCGTGACGGTCTTGGAAGTGGCCGCCGGCGCGTCATCCCCTAGATGGTGTGACGGTGGCTAGCAGCGGTGGGCGCGGCTCCGGCCCTCGACGAGTCGAATGCGTTGATGTCGGAGTCGCCGAGCCTCCAGCCTTTCCTCAATTGCTCACCACTCCTGGCATACCTGGTCCATGCCCCGGGCCGCGATGGATAGAAGCCATCTCCTCCGGGAGGTAAAATAGTCCCACGTCGGCCTGGCATCGGTGTGGCATTCCACCATGGCCGAGCGGGCTAACCAGATGGCGTGGAGCCCCAGGAGCACCATGGACGGGAGCACC